CGTTGAGACCGAGGGGTCTGCCGTGATTTGAGGACGACGGTGCAGATGAAGCCGCTCATCGTATGAAGGCAAGGGTCGCCATCCAGGAAGGGAATGGTGAGCCCGCTCGCTAGCCCAAGACGCTCGGCGCTGAGGAGGCCGGTCTTGAGATGAAGGATCACGTTGAGACCGAGGGGTCTGCCGTGATCTGAGAACGACGGCACTGATGAAGCCAGTCGTCTGAAGATGAAGGGCGGCATCGGGCGCCTGTCCTCTGAGGATGACGGTGCCGATGAGCCTGTTTGAAAATGAAGGACGACGTTTGGACGCTCATCTGAAGATGAGGGACGGCGCTGATGAAGCCGGTCCTTTGCTTAAGGACAAGGCGTCGCGTCTGTCTGAAGATGAGGGACGGCGCTGACGCTCGTCTGATCCGCATGTATGGTCTTGCTTCGTCCATAATGCATAGTATTTGCCTGATATGTACTTAGCCAAATATGTGGCTTGATTTGTGGGGATTTTATTTTTATCGCTCAAGGCTGGCGAGTGCGCGGTCCTCGGCTTCCCTCTTTCTATTTGTGGGGATTTCGCTTGAGGTCGGCGAGTGCACGGTCCTCGAGTGTCCCTCTTTTATTTGTAAGGATTTCGCTCGAGGCCGGCGAGTGCATGGTCCTCGGTTGTCCCTCTTTTATTTGTGGGGATTTCGTCGAGGCCGGCGAGTGCATGGTCCTCGGCTGTCCCTCTTTTATTTCTTCCTCTACTGCTATGAGCGAGGAGTGGGGTCCTTCTTTCAGGCTCGACCGAGGGGGTTGCTATTCCCTCGGCCGATAGGGAGTCCAGGAGGGTAGCTGTCCGGCCTCTGGCACTGGATCGTCCCTTGATCTTGAGGGGGTCCCATCATCTATTTACGGTGCGGGCTAGGCTTTTGGTCGGTTACCGACGGCTGCCGTTTCCCAACCCCAAGTGTGGGGATTTTGTCATCTCGGCCATTCTTTCAGGCCTGTCGTAATGCGATTTAGCGCGAAGACGACGCGATGAGTTTCCCGTTTCAAGACGTGGGACATTTTGCGGGCCCTCGTCCTGGGGCACCGTCGGCCATGTCTGAGCGTTTCGCTCTAAGGGGCCGAGACGATGTGTTGTTTTGTGTGGCATCGTCAGCCATACCTGAGCGTTTCGCTCGAAGGGGCCGATGCGACGTGCTTTGTTTTGTGCATCCTTTACTTAAACTTTACAAGAAATAAGCAGAACACAACAGGTGTGTTTATATAAGTGGCTCATGGCCGAGGGTGGTAATCTTCTTAACAATCCATACAGGAGTTAGCTTCTCAATGAGCTTCTGACTAGACCTGCACAATTCCGGGCCGGCCCGCCCGGCCCGCCCGGCCCGCCCATATAAATGGGCGGGTTTGGACACATGCTTTAGCCCACCGGGCCGGGGCCGGCCCGGCCCGTTTAAAATATGGGCGGGCTTGGGTTGTAATATAGGCCCGGTCGGGCCTAAAAGCCCGGCCCGTAAACATATTATATTATATATATTATTCTATATATAATTATACATTATATGACTATACGTATAAAACTTAAAATAGTTGGAAGTATAATTTCATTACCATGTCTTTTTGGAGATACTCTTGACTATTTCCGTTGCACATTGTGAATCTGTGATTGTGCTTTTAATTATGGAATATGAATGCTTATTTGGAATTTGGATGCTTTTTATTTTCCAGAATCGTTTTGTGTTTCGCATTTAAACGTATTCTTGTGTTCAAAATGTGTTGTGAGTACATTAATTATTTAATTGCATTTAAAATGTTGTGATGTTATTTTATAAATATTTTCATTTTTTAACAAAGTTGACAAAAGGATATTTTCCGGGCCCAAAAGCCCGGTGGGCAGCCCGGCCCGCTCTCATGGGCGGGCTTGGACATATGAGGAGGCCCGTTTTACCGGGCCGGGCCCGCCCACTACAAGTGGGCAGATTTTTTAGAATAAGCCCGGCCCGAGCCCGTGTTTGTGCAGGTCTACTTCTGACCTTGGGTGGGGGCTCCGCCGTCTGCACCCTCTTCGGATTTCTGATAGAACTTCACCGAGATGTAGGGCCCTTTGTATTTTGAGGGATGAGCCGTTCGTCAGTCGTGCGTCCCTTCGAAGAAGGACACAGTCAGCGGATGTGACGGTTCTTTGGCTGGGGCTCCTCGAAGTCCTCGTCGTTGCTGAGCCTCCCAATTTCATGCTTCTTTGTCGAGGTGTCCCCTTCCTGATTACTGGTGGAGTTCCTAGGGGCACCTTGGAAAAATTGGTGGAGTTCACCCCGTTGAATCAAGCGCTCAATGGCTTTCTTCAGTGCGACGGAGTCGTCTGTATTGTGGGAGGCAATAAGTGCCGCCCTGGTGGATGGCGTAGACTTCCGTGGCCGACCGGGGATCTCTGGGGATGAGACCTTGCTCCTCCGCATAGTCGAGGATGGTATCCACCGAGTGCGTGAGTGGAGTCCTTGGGACATCCATCCTCGACTACCATGGGCGCTCCTTCCGGTTCTGGTGGGCATGGCCTCTGGCCGAGGATGCGCTTGGAGCCGACATATTTTTTATCTTCTTTAATGGCCGGCCTCCATCCTTCTTGCGGGAGTGGAACTCATCGGCGTCAGCGTACAAGCTCCCTCTCTGGAGTGCCTTGGTGCATGACCTCGGCGGGTCAGTGATGAGGCTCCTCGGATAGGGGCTGCTGCGGAGAACACCTTGGAAGAGGACGAGGAGGGTGCGCTCATCGGCACCTTCGACCTCATCTGTCTCCTTCGTCCATCGGTCGATGAAAGACCGAAGTGATTCATCGTGTTGCTATTTGATGGAGAGGAGATGGGAGAAATGTTTCTTCATGCACTTCCTTCCGGCGAAGTGGGTGAGGAAGCGTTGAGCAAGATCCTGCCACGAATCTATGCTTCCTTCGGGGAGCGTGTTGAACCACTCGTACGCTGGCCCTTCAAGAGTGGAAAGGAACCAACGACAAAGGTATTCATCCGACGCGTTCACCATCAACATGTTGTTCTGATAGCGGCTGGAGTGCTCCTGAGGGTCGGAGCGGCCATCATAGGGCTTGATGGCGTTTCCTCTGTACTTCTCGGGGATAGGGGCCGAGAGTACCCTGGCAGTGAAGGGAGTCGTCATCCTGACTTGGACGATGGGGTCTCCTCGTCCTTCGGCCAACTCCCTCTCAAGGATGCTGACCTTGTGTAGGAGGAAATTGAAGCCGGGATCCCTGAATGAGTTGCCCGTGGGGGTGGCGGCCAGCTGTTTGGCCTCCATCTGGGCGAGTCTTCGCTCCAGCTGGGCGATCACCTCGTCCCGGGGGTCTTTGGCGGCCATGGTGGTGCCTTGTGTCTGTAGGCGGGCTGCGTGAGCTTTGTTGATTTGGTGGCGTACGTCACCCTCGTGCAGCTTACCCTTTCCTTTGTCCAGGCGGGGCCGATCCGCTGTCCGGGATACGGACCCCAAGCTTTCCCTTGGTGAGCCAGGCTCACATTCACCAATCCGTCCCGCCATCCTCTCCGAAGCAGGCCGACGACGCGTGTCACCTAGCCTATTGAAGGCTGAGGCTTTTCCACGCGCTGGGGCCGGTCCAGCTCGAAGTGGGGAAGCAGGGTGGGAGTGGGATGACGACGTGTCCTGGGGCAACACCCCTTCGTCGTTTCCTAGCTTGATGGCCAACGACTGGGGCTGAGGAGGCGGTGTAGTGTTCTCCCCAGTCCTTGGCATGAGTGCACTGAGGACGGTGGGGTTCTGGGCCAGGCTGGCGATGATGGCCGAGAGAGTGGCTTGGAGCTGAGGGTCAACGGTAGGAGAAGCCGGCTGCCCCGAGGCATTGTCGCCCTTCTCCAGGCGCTTCTTGTCCAGGCCGATACGGGCGTCGGGGGCGCTGTCGTTGAGCTGATGGCGAAGATCATTCGTGAGGTCGATGGCCTCCTAGAAAACATCCCCGCCCGCGGCCTTGTCGGCTGTAGTGTCCTCCTCGTGTTCCTTGTCCTCTTGGGCCTCAGGGATGGCCTTGCCGAGGAGGTTACAGTTGGACTTAGTTCTTCCCATGATCAGTTAGCTGTGCTTGGTAGCGATGAAGGATGCTAACTTGATTGTTCTAGCTCTCAATGAAAGCACCAAATGATGGAGTATTAACTCCTAGAGAGAAGTGCAGTAAATGTTTTTGTATTAATGATTTGTGAACCCTTTACATGGCTCCCAAGGGGAGTATTTATAGGGAAAAGTGGGATGGGATCCCAAGTCTTGGGCTTGGGAGGCCCATTACATTATAGAGCCTCTATTGGGCTGATTACATTAGAAGTCTAGCCCTGTGAGTTCCTTCTCGCCGACGGAGGCGCTCGGCCGACGGAGGCATGGACGACGGAGGCGCTCGGCCGATGGAGGCATGGACGACGGAGGCACTCGGCCGATGGGGGCACTGGCCGACGGAGGACAAGTCTTCTCCTTAGCTTCTGGAGCGTATTCCGGGTTGACTCTTTTTCGGCCGATGGGGGTGCCATCTTGGCGACGGAGGGCCCACTGGATGACAGCTGTGCTCCTCTTAGTCTTCTGAGTATGTGGGTCATGGGGTCTGGACCCATATACTCCATCAGTATCAGTATAGGGCTCGAAAGATGAAAAACTATCAATCGAGGACGTAACATTTCATTGGTTTCGATTTATTTGTTTTTTTATTAATTTCATAGCTAATATTTGGTGTAATTTTCTTCACCAAAGTTTATTAGTTGAATAAAACAAAATAATTTTTAAATTTTTTAAAATAAAAATAATAATAAAATTTATGAAAACTTAGGTCCCAAATTGATAGTTTTCAATCATTCGAGTTCTAGATTGATAGTTTTCCATCATTCGGATCTTATACTGATACATTTGATCTTTCATGTCCTAAATTGATAGTTCATCTATCTTTACCTTTAAATTGGGGATTGATAAAATTTCATTAATTAAAGACAGAAAAAGCAGTTCTGGTTATCCTGATCCACTTATATAATCCACCAACATCTCGGTAACAGTGTCAGTAATCTTATTCTAAGACTTGGGGGAAGACGGTTTGATCTCAATGACGACCGAGTCCCGGCAATCAGCCCACCCTCTCCGCTCATTCCGGCTACAGTCACCTCTCAGTTCTAAGAATATCACAAATGCACACAATTATTAAGGTCAAACAGACAGCTTCTCCTTTTCGGCTATATAACTCTTCATTCTTTTTTATATTTTTTCTCTTTACTTTCCCGTTTTTCCTTTCTTCTCCGAACAGTAACCCCCTCTTTCACCATTGATGCAGAAAGATCACTTCTTGAATGGCGGAGGAGCTCCGCCGCCATTACACTTTGAACTCACTAAAATGCATGAGTTGAATTCAAATTGGGGATGTTCCCAAGATCATCAGTACGCCCAATTCGAGCTACCAGTCAATTCAATGGCCACCACAAACTCCGCCGTCCCCGGTGGCTTCGCAATTACCGAACTGATCGGCGAACTCAGCAATATGTGTAGTTCCACTTCGACATTCGCCGCCCCTTACGTTCATAACAATGATATTAACGTTAATAATAATAACAGTTTGGGGGATTCCCTGAAATCTCCTCCGAAGTTGCACGTACCCAGTTTGGGAAACTCACCTCCCCTGAATCGGGCGGTCTCCGATCACGTTGAGATGGCTGCGAAGTTTTCTTGCCTGGGTAACCGGAGCTTTAACGGTAGAACTGGTCAATTCGGGTTGAAAAATGGAAAGGTGTCTAGAGTTTTGAGTAGCCCTTCTCTGAAGCAATCTGGAATTGAAACCCGACCCAAATTTAAACCCGAGCCCCCATTCTTTCCGGGCTCTGGTGGCAACTATTCCAATGCAGAACTGTCTGTCTCTGATCAGCCCCTGAGCGGCTCGGCCGAATTCAATCCCAGAAAAAGAAAAACAGCCTCAGGGAGAAAATCCGAGGAAGATGGCAAGGTAGTAAACAATATCTGCCTGATCATATATTCAGACATTTTCTTGAATATTTCATTGATCACTCTCTTATACAATCTTTATGGTTCACGCATGATCAAGTATTCGAAGCATTGTACGCTATTTTGTATCATTATATGATTTATGTTTTAATATTTATTCAATGTGGTGATTTATCCTTAAACATTACAGGGAGTTGAAGGGGACAGCTATTCAAATGCAAAACAATCTAAACTAACAGAGGTGTCTAGGGGTGACTACAATGATAATAGTGGTGTTCAAGCAGAGGATGAACTGAATGGGAATAATAGTCAGAAGAGTATTGATAATGTAGGAAATGGTAAGGCAAATCAGAAGCTTTCTGAGCCACCAAAGGATTATATTCATGTTAGAGCAAGAAGGGGGCAAGCTACTGATAGCCATAGTCTTGCAGAAAGAGTGAGTTTTTCTTTTAGATATTTTTGTTGACAAAAAACACCCAACTTAACTATGATAGGGAGTATGCACAAAGTCAAAATCGGTTTATTATTGAGAATTGAAAGCTTATTTTCTCAATTGAATTAGGTAAGGAGGGAGAAGATCAGTGAAAGAATGAAGCTTTTGCAAGATCTTGTACCAGGCTGTAATAAGGTAACCAAACTTTTCTTCAGGAGATCTTTTTGTCAGAGATTCCTTACTGTCAAATTAAGGCTTTGGTTTGGTAGCCAGTTCTTGATTATTATGCTTACTAGTGAAATAAGTAGCTTTTGACTTATTCGTTGAAATTAATGTTACTAAATGCTTTTCGATTCAAATAGTTCAGCAAACTCAATCATTTAAGCCAAATTAAAAAAAAAACTTACCAAGCGGGCCCTAAATGTGAACTTAATAAAATAAAAACTTTTGATTTAGGTCACCGGAAAGGCACTAATGCTTGATGAAATTATAAACTATGTGCAGTCACTGCAACGGCAGGTCGAGGTAACTCCTAAATAGCACCAATGATTATTAACTGTAACGATATTTTCATCTCCATTTGATTGTTTTAGGTTTCAACTGTGTTTTTTGGAAATTGCAGTTCCTATCCATGAAGTTAGCAACAGTAAATCCGAGGGCGGATTGTAACGCATCTAATCTGCTCCCAAAGGAAGTCAGTAATTTTTCCCTGCACTGGATTTGGTAGTTTTCTTTTTGGTGTAAATTCCTGAAAATGTTTATAAAAGTTTGGAACATCTTTGTGTTCAGATATGTCAACCAAATGTTTCGTTGCCACTTCCTCCTATGTATCCACTGGATTCAACGGCTTCCGCTTTTCATCAGTATGCACATTCACAAGTTCCCCAACTAAATATGAGTATTCCGAATGGGACAGTAAGCCAATGCCCTCCCATTTTCTCAATTGATACCTCTCCAAACTGCAGCCTAGCAATGCAGTTCCCTCCCATAGATGGCTTCACTGAAAATCTTACTCAGGTTATTAGCTGCTAATGAACATTATCTATTCGAGACTCATATCAAAATTTATCTCAGCTCATTTGTGATTCTTCATTTTTTTATAGAAAGAAAAATACTCCGTAGAAAAAAGAGACAATTTAGTTGTTTGTGAATAAGGCTGAGATGTTGTTGTTGTGGCCTGCAGTGTCTTGTACTACGTAGTATTATATATTAATGATTTCTTTCTGAATGTGTGTGTTCCAGTGTCCATTGGCATTTGAAGATGACCTGCAAAGTATTGTCAAAATGGGATTCAGCTGAATCCCTACGAAGATTGCATTCCTAATGGTAATTTTGGGATTTGTCTCTTAAAGATGCATTGTTTGGTAGTCAAATCTGGCTTGTTCGGCTTATCAGCATAATACATATGCCTGGCTTATTCAGCTTAATGCTTATCAGCATGATACATATGCCTTTGACTTACTTATTTGACATTTTGACCGATATTGAAGTCACCATATGTTTTTTGAGTTAAGTCATTTTACACTAGACGATATTTAAGTTCTTTCTATCAGTGTCCAAGATGGAACCGTAATCTCGTAACGGTTTGGTCGGTACTCCACTCGGGTATTGCACGCACCGTTAGATCATGCTGCCTGACCAATCGACCATACATCATATACATGATGATACAGACGCACTCTAGCAGCTTATCTAACGGTACCCGAGGGGTCAGCATTGACTAAACCATCTTGTAACTTCGCATATATATTTTTCTTGTAGTGTGAGTGTGTGAATAATTATGTGTGTGTTTTGGTACAGTTCAAACTCTCAGATAACAAAAATGGTGCTTTGATCATAGTTCATCCACCATTGGTTGTGAAATTCCAGGAGAAGAAAGTGATGATTGTACATATCTGCTTCAAGAACTTGATTGTGGGCGTCAAATTAATCCCCAAGATTATTTTCTTTTAATCTGTATTACTTCTGTCTTTAAGGAATAGGAGATGCCCTCACCCCGAGGGCCCCGCATCGCCCCTGCCCTTGATTTATTAGGATCTTCTGATTTATATTGTTAGGGAAAACAAATCATAATTCTTGTCCATTGTAGTATTTAACAGCACTAATAATGCAGTGATTAAAGGATGCATTATCAAGTGATTTGTCTTCTTCTTTTTCTTTTTTGAATTATTATATGATTAGATTGTGGTTGGTGCCAAGTTATAGAGAAATTATGTTTTTCCCCTGTAAATAATTTGGTTAATTAAGCATATATTTTAAACAGCTATGTGGGGTAGGGGGCTCCCTTTGTCTCTTTCTCAAGTCTTGTAATCTTTGAATGGTTTATTAATAATATTATTAATTTTATTGGCATCTTATGCATTCATTTTAGACATAATTATCGGCACAATTTGAGGCTCCTGTAGTTTTCACAGATTTATCCAAAAACAGAAGCTTCTCTTCTCTTGTTTCTTGTCAATGTGTACAGAAAAGAAAAGAAAGAAAAAAATTGGTTGGTAAATTTTATGGAGCATTCTCCCAATAGTACAAAAGAAAATTTTGATGATTGATTTTGTTTTGTCCCCGGTAATTTTACCCGGACATAAGAATAGCCAGACTGGCAAAATTACCCAATTTACCTGGAGGGCTTTAATTACATCTCCATAAATGGAAAAAACATTAGCATCGGAAAGGTAAAAATTCAGTGGTCCTGGCTGGTGGATTTTGGTTTTCAGGTATCAGATTTACCTTTAATAGAAAATTCACCAAAATAGGTGTAAATTGTTACAAAAAATTGTTATCCAAACTCGAAGGCCCTAAAATAAAACTATTGTTGATATAAACGGTTCTCACCGTACATCCGGATATTTTTGTGATTGTTTCTGATTTGCATGGTTGTAGTTCATCCTTCCATACGTTCTTTTTAATTATTTCCCTGCCAGTTGAGTCCACTACGCATATGCTCTCTTTAGTCCCTGACTTCTTTTATGCTCTCTTCCGTCTCTGACTTTTTCTTTTCTCTTTTTACGTAGCTCTTTGTTTTTTAATTTCTTTTTCCTTTTTTCTTAACCACCTTTTCCATTGATTTTAATTTATGATGTATATTTAAGAAATTAATATTTTATTTTATGTTATACTTAAATGAGTGTAATATATACAGCAAATGTGCACTAAAAGAAGTTAATTATGAGTATAGTCCTTACAAGAAATGTGCATTGATTTAACATCTTAAAATTGATTTAAGAGAAATTGTGATATCCATCGATCTCAATATATGATGTTTGATGCTCTATGAAAATATCGTGTTGTTCAACCATCAAACATTATGATTTTCATATCAATGGGCATTTTGTATGTTACGCATGCTCATCTGGTACTGATTTTGTGCTCATTTTCTAAATTTCATATCAACGCATTTTCAAACGTACTATTTTACATTAGATTCACATATTGAAATTCATAGGAGTTGATTATAAATATAATTTAATACGTTTTTATAAAAGAAAAAATAACAAAAAGAAAGTGAATTAGAAGTTATGAAGCAAAGATCGCGATTCTGAATATTAGACTCCTAAGAGCATCCTCATTCATGATCTCTAATTATTAATTTTTTCTATGATTCTTACCTTTTAAATATTGTTATATAATTAATTTTTAAATAATCTCAAAATTTGTTTATGTCTCCCAACCATCATCTTTAAATAACCCGATTTTTTCGGTCCAACATTAACTTCTATTACATATACTTTTTTTAATAATTTTAAAATAATCCGGATTCATATTTTGATCCCAGATTATTGTAGCAAATAATCTCATTAAATAATCTATGCTACTCAATGATGCTTCTCTAAAAAATCTACCACATCACTTATTTAATCTCTTAATAATCCTATCAATGAGGATGCCCTAATACTCAACATAATAGCTGTGACACTCATTAAAAGTTCATTAATGTTCATCCACCAAAATTCTAATTTTCATCTCAATAGCGAAGATTTGATGCTCAATTAAAATGTCGGGACGTTCAATCAACAAACCTTACATTTTTCATATTAATGTGTTGTTTGTAGGTTATGTATGCTCATTTGGTACTGATATTATGCTCATTTTTAAAATGTCATATCAATGCATATTTCAAAAGTATCATATTACATTAGAGTCGAATATTGAAATTGATATGAGTGGATTATAGATATAATTTTATAAGTTTTTATAAAAGAAAAATAAGAAAAAGAGAAAAAACTAGAAGATATGAAGCAGAGATCGTGATACTCATTGTTAGCCTGATAATACTCAATACAATAGGTCATATGCTCACTAAAAGTACAATGTTGCTCATTTAGCGGGAGCCTTTATTTTTCGCTTAAATTACAAAAACGCCACGAAAAAAATTAGGTTGTTTTAATCAAACGGGCTGTCTTTCTTAACATGGCCTTTTTTGTGGGCCTTATTAGTTTTTTTTCTTACTTTTTCATATTTATAATGAGCATTACACCAATGTCAAATGAGTGTACATACTTAAGAAACGAGTACCAAAAAATTCAGAAAGATCATTTAAAATCTCTAGTATGCTCAAATAGTAAATGTGAATACATAACATGTGACATGAGTATCAAATTGTTTAAAAATCTATAGTTTTTTAAAATGTCATATCAATGCATATTTCAAAAGTATCATATTACATTAGAGTCGCATATTGAAATTAATATGAGTGGATTATAGATATTATTTAATAAGTTTTTATAAAAGAAAAAAATAAGAAAAACCGAAAAAAATTAGAAGATATGAAGCAAAGATCGTGATACTCATTGTTATTCCGATAATACTCAATACAATAGGTCATATGCTCACTAAAAGTACAATGTTGCTCATTTAGCAGGAGCCTTCATTTTTCGCTTAAATTACAAAAATGCCAACGAAAAAAATTAGGTTGTTTTAATTAAATGGACTGTCTTTCTTAACTGGACCTTTTTTGTGGGCCTTATTAGTTTTTTTCTTACTTTTTCACTTATAAAAAAGCATTACATCAATATCAAATGAGTATACATACTTAAGAAATGAGTACCAAAAAATTTAGAAAGATCATTTTAAAATCTCTAGTATGCTCAAATATTAAATATGAATACATAACGTGTGATATGAATTTTTGAAAGAACTGTATGAAAAAATATTTTTATAAAAAATTACTTAAAAATAAAAAAGTAGGAGTTCAAAATGTCAGAAGAGATAAAGTATATATAAAAAGAAAAATGAAAAAAAGAAACAAAAAGAAGAAAAAGAAAAGTGGAAGTTAGAAAAATTAAAGTTCAAAATCAAAAGAAAAGGAAAAAGAAAAAATCAAAATAAAAAAGACAAAGAGAAAACGAGAAGAAAAAACAGAAGAAGAAGAAGAAGAAATGCAAAGAAAGAAAAAAAAAGAAGAATAAACAAAAGAAAAGAAAGAATGGAGAACATACGAATGATGTACGTGAGTGCGTGATGTAAAGAGAAAGCAATTCATCACTCAACCAATTAATTATCCTTAAACATTACTATTAATTGCAAAAAAAAAAACGGGTGTACATGTACACCCGGGTGTATGATATAGGTGCTGGAAAATTTTAAAAGTCGCAGTGTCTCTTGCACTATTGCCGAGAATTAAAAATGAAAAAATTAAAAGTCGAGTACCAAAAAGTGGCAAAAATTCTTTATATTTTCCACTGGTCGTAATCTCTAAGTGACTCATAATTAAGAGAACGTCAATCTAAACACAATATGTCCTTGTGCGGTCTTGCCCACTGCTGTTGCTTATATGATCGGCTAGATGCCTTTTTTAATGGATAGTCAAGTGATGAAGGAAAATTCGTTTTTTATTTAATGTTCTATTGAAGTTTTGGAAGCATACTAGGAGAAAAAGTGTACGGCCGAAATTTTGGGATCTTGAATATAATAAATAAATAATCAAACCATATATAGTATTTTTGAACTTGAATCGTTTAATTTGAGACTTTGACATGATTACAGGAAGATGAGTGGAAAATAATATTACAAAACAAAAAGCATAGATTAACTAATCCTAGAGACTGGAGCCTGGAATTGAAGAGATTACTGGATTCTTTCATATCAAGGTTTTGAGGTCCAATAATTAAAAAATGTTTGTTTGTAGTCTTGTATTTATTACTCGCTCCGTTCCATAAAATAGTTCTGATCATCCTTTTTGAGTTATTTCAAAAAATAGTTCTTATTTTTCATTTTAGAAAATTTGTGCGACTATCATTCATTTACTATTATTCATTCATTTTATGGGAGGATGGTAGTATTTTAGTGGACAAGAATATTCTCAGTAAACTGTAAAAACATTGTCTCGAGTCCTGGACCAATGAGATTAAGAGGGTTTAATGCACCAAATCCCCTCCTGATACAAAAATTCAGCGCATTAGTTCTCTGTGATTTGAAAAATGCGTCAAACCTCCTTTTGTTTTAATTAATCATGCACAGAAGTACAGAACCCTTTTTATGAATAAATTTAACGATTTGGAAATCACTTTTCATAATATTTATTGAATATGCAAGTAAATATGTCAAAATCTCTAACTCATACAAAAATGTTAATCGTTTTTCTTTTATTTGACAATTGAATTTGTTCATAGAAGGAATTTTGTGCATAATTAATAAAAACACAAAGAAGTTTGACGCATTTTTTAAATCACATGGAGCTAAAACCAGAATAAGATTAGAAAAAGGTTTCCTTTCTACGGAGTATTAAAGTAAAAGTAGAAGGAGAATCTCCAAATTTTCTCCTCAAGCAATAATTATGTGTTGATAATATGGCGTAAGAATGTATATTCCGTAGTATTACTCTATCACGGAGAACAAGAATTCAATTATTGGTCTTGTTGTCAGCATTATTAAATTACCATAAAGATTCTTTGAAACTAACCATTTTTATTAATTACATACCCCATAATGGTATGTTTGGATCTCGAAGGAAGTTTTCTCTTATATTTCAAATAAAATAAACTCAGTAATATTACTATGTAGGAGGAGAAAGACAATACACACATATATATTCCATCCCACCCTTATAACTTTGCCTACTTTTCTTTTTGAGTTGTCCAAAAATTTTTGTTACTTTCCATTTTAATCAATCAATTTGTGGTTCTTGTTATTTCTCTCTCCTCTGCACAAATATCTACCACACAGTTTTTAATTTATTGTATTACGTGCCGGTCAAACTTGACAAACCTTTAACTCCCTTTAAGGGATGGAGGGAGTATTAAAGTTTAAACAACTATGCTTCGTGTACATGTCACGAACTGGTACACGTTGGACATTTTGTCCGTAAATTTTAAGGGAAATTATCCTTCACCTCTCTTGAGGTTTGATGTATTATC